TTTTGTTTTTTGGATTTTTAGTATTTGATTAACGATTATACAATCGCTGACATCCCGTCCTCGCTGAGGGCACTGTGCCGCCTCTCCGCTCGGATGCCGAAGAAGAACGTATCATTCAGACCAGCACCCCAGAAGAAGAATTCTCTGCCAATTTTGTCTGAAGCACTGACTATCATACATGCGCTCGGATTGTCCCCTGCTGCTACTGTTAATCAGGGAGTCAACTTCGCCATGTGGGCGCGTAACAAACTCTTCAAGAAGAGGGCTTCCGTGCGTACCACTTCCAACGCTCAAGTACCGGCCGAATCAGATGGAATCGAGGGCAGTGCATCTCTGGTGGAACATCTGAAATCGCCCGTGTCATTTGATCAACTTTTCTCCACTGTTAAGACCTACCGGGCAGTCCTTGAATCTGGTCCTCATTCTCCCTGGTCGAATTCTTCCGTTCGTGAAGAGAGTCTTTCGGACCTGAAGCAGTTTCCCCGGCTTGCCGCCGGACACTGTCATCGGGGACCATAAGGAGTAGAAGGCCCGCTGACAAATTGTCAGAGGGGACGCTGCTTCGGGTGCATGACGATCACCCTTGCTTGGATGTAGGACGCCGACCGCTCGCTCATGCTTTGCTCACACAACAATGTCTATCCTGTTATTCTTCAAGCTGTGTATAGGCCAGATAAATATATATATATCCTGTCTTGTGGTGTGTTGTCAAACGCGAGTGCCTAATAATTGTAGTAGCTCAAGCATTTATTACATTTCCAATCTGAAGGAGCGCAAGCAATGACATATTAAAACATACTATCCTGCCATCGTCCCAATGTCTTTCCAAATGCCGTTGCGGAATTCCTCGATCTGTTGGTCAGTCCTATCCGCTACCGAGGCACTCTGCGCCAGGTTCAGCAACTGCCGTGCCTTCGAGCCTCGTAGACCAGTAAAGCCCTAATCACTATCAGACGCTCATGACACCGAATTTCGTCTCAAGATCTGGAAAGCGCGGTACAAATTCGACCTTGAACGGCGCCGGCTGAACAGTGAGAAAGTTATCCACCAAATTCATATCATCCACATGCACATCTCTCCCATCTGCACCCTTCCCTCTGCGCATATCGAAAGCCAAAGTGAGGTAAGCGAAGGTGATGAACAATGAATTGAGTGCCAAGTCGCGACCGGGACAAATACGCCGTCCGTGACCGAAGCCAAGGTTATCGTCATGCGTATCTGGTATACCAGGCTTGAGCTGACCTGAGGTATCGAGGAATCGGGAAAGGTTGAATGTCTCGGGATCCGAGTAAACCAATTCGTCGCGGGTTTGTGCCCTGGGAGATTGGTCAGTGTATATTAGCCACCAGAAAAGACTCGCGCACCAGAGGTTGTCGATAATCAGTGTGCCCTTCGGGATCATGTGTCCTCCGTATTCAAAGTCTTCGGTTGCAGCATGTGGCACTCCGCTGGGTATCGCGGGACGCCAGCGACCTACTTCCTTGATAATAGCGGAGATGTAAGGGAGGTTCGGTTTGTCCTTGAATGTCGGCGGCCTGTCGCCGACGATTGCGTCAAGCTGGGACTCCGCTTCGTGCATCACATGGGGATAGAGGAACATCGCAAGGATGAAATTTCGAAGTAAAGTCGTCGTCTAGGAGATTGGTAAGTCACAGTTGAGGGATCATAATACAGCTTTACAGTATCCAACCCTGCCGCGCTAAAGGATAGAGACATGTCAATGTCCAGGTCGACAAACCCAAACGCACGTACAAGAGTACCCCAGCACCCCATGCCTTCATATTCTCATCAATCCCGAAGTCTTCCGACAACTTGCTGAAGTTGTTGGACAGGCAAGGATTGCCCAAGACCTATTGCTCACATGGTTGAGGTGACAGGTCGGTGTGGAACCATTGCAACTCACCGAAGCATCTTGAGCATCACTGTACAGATGGTGGAAGATCTCGCTGCTCTCCGTGTCGTAATTGTCAAAAGTTCTACAAAGGGAACATGAACAACCTCCTACAGCAGGCATCGAGTTCGATCGTACTTCCGCAGCCACTTGCAGCGTTCCTACAAGTGCCTCAGGGGGGGGATCATGTCCACCAGTGACTTCCCAGGCATCGAGGTCCTGAAGGCATACGTGTTCAGTTCTTCTGTTCGCTCCGATGGCCCATGGCTGTCTCATGGTAGCGGGGGGCCGCTGTACATCACACGCCAGACGATCGAAGAAGAGGTGCGGTGGATATTCTTTACAGGGTCGACCTCCGGTTGTTCAAGAAGATAACGAACCATGATCGACGCCTCCTGCTCTTGTACGGGTTGGAATCCAGTAACATTTCGGATATTCAGACTTCCCCAGAAGGTGAGCTTGATGACATGCGCGAAAAGAGTAGATTCTTACACCTCATGAGTCGCCTTCCTCAGTTGGCGCCAGCTGCATTTCATCATCAACACTACCTAAGCTACCAGTCACAAAGTCACTCACACTTCCCCATGCTGCGCAGCAACTAAATTGCACCCTCTGGACAAAAACTGGTTCAGCTTGATCCACCTCGGTCTCCCCGCGGTCAGGCCCGAAATCCGGTCCAGCACATCCGCAGCGACCTTCACAGAAGAGAGGACGACCATCCGCTGGCCAGGGACGTTGATGCTGTAGATTGAACCGTACTGTTTGGACCAGGTGGTGGAGTTGGAAGTGGAGGAGGGACTTGGGGAGCTGGAGGAGGTTGCCCAGCAGGGGTAGACCTGGAGGACCGGGAGGGAGCTTGGAGTACCGGTTTGGACGTAGGAAGATACCGGTTAGTGCTATAACTCCCAGGGCGACGAGCACTAGAGTAGACGGCATGGTTTTGGGTTAACAAGAAGGCAGCACGGTAGATGATATTGATATTAAGAGGTTGGCAAGCAGGATGTAATCAGCATAGCGGCCAGTATGGTATTTCCGGTCAGAGCGGGATTTACAGGCATTGTAATCCGCAGTTCCCACGAGATCCAGCGCAGATAGACAGAGAAGACACTTCACGCCGGCATGGAAGAGATCCTGGGGCAACGACCATGTTGTACGGCAGCGGTTCTATTAGGAAGACAAGAGAGGTAGACAAGCGCGCGAGAACCCTGCGAGTCTTCCATTGTCATTCTGACGTGTGACAACACGTAACAAGAACAGGATATATATATATTTGTCTGGCCTATACACAGCTTGTGCAGAAGAATAACATGAATAACAGCATAGACATTGTTGTGTGAGCAAACCATGAGCGAGCAGTCGAGTCCTACATCCAAGCAAGGGCGATCGTCATGCGCCCGGAGCAGCGTCCCCTCTGACAATTTTCCGGATTGTCAGCGGACCTTCTACTCCTTATGGTCCCCGATGACAGTGTCCGGCGCGTACCGCTGGATGACCTTGGGATCATGAAGCATGTTGAACTCCTCCGTCGCGTCCCTCCCGGCATAGAGCAAGATCGCCTTCTCTCCACCAGGATGGTCAGGGAGGAACTTAGTCACGTCAAGTACTTGCCCGTTGATGATCACCCAGCAGTCGTCTTTCTTGTTGTGCTTGGCGACTTCGGCGGCGGAGTAGGCGCCGGAATGGCTCGCAGAGGCGGACTCGGTCTTAGGGGCTTCGCGCTTCTCGGGTTCTGGCGCAGCTAGGGACTCGCCTTGCCGCGCAGGGGCGGAGGTGGCGGGAGGAGCAGGAGCAGGAGCCGAGGCAGAAGTGGAAGGAGCGGAGTCGCCGTCCCAGGCGAAAGTGAGGGTGACCTGCTTGTCGTTGGGGTTGATCCGGACGCGAGTCTCGAGCAGGTGGCTAGCGACGGCACCAAGACGTTCCGTAGCCTTGCTGGACGCGTTCTGCAGGAGGTAGGCGGCGGCGGCATCCCCTGCTACACGGCCGAAGACGACGCAGCCAAGCAGGGAGGAACCACCAAGACGGTTGGCACCGTGGACACCTCCAGCAACCTCACCAGCCGCGAAGAGACCGGGGATGACCTCTTGCGCCTTGTTCAGCACACGGGAGTGGTCGTCGATCCCAAGGCCACCCATAGTGTAATGCAGCACAGGGGTCATGAGGGCGACGTTGAAATAATCGTTCATGGACCACTTGCCGCCCGCGAAGAACTTCTTTCCGAAAGGATCCTTCTTGGCCTCGGCAATCTTGTTGTACTCGTCGAACGTCTTCTTGAGCACCTCAGGCCTGAGCCCCATGTCCTTGGCGAGCGCCTCGCCGCTCTCGTAGCGCTTCATCAGCCCACGGCCGACATAGTGCTTGCAATGCCACTCGATCTGCTTGCTCGCCTCGCCGTTGAGCACAAGACGGATGGGGAACTTGCCGTTCTCCCACATCTTGCCTGTTACGAAATCACGATGCTGCAATTCGTCGACGAAGCGGGAGCCGGTGTTGTCAAGTAGCAGACCGCCGACACCGCGGAGAGCCTCAGCAGCCAGGAACTTGACCTTAGCCTGCAGGGAGATTAGGTCCAAGCACAAGCAGTTAAAATGAGACGCATATACGCACATCTGGGTCCTTGGGGTCTACCAACCCTGTCGGGTGCACCTGGACCTTCTCGAGGTCGACACCCTCCGCTCCGATCGCCATAGCCATCTTCTGCCCGTCACCGGTACAATGGTCGCCGTTCGTGGTAGGCAAGTGCAAGAACTCGGGGCGGTACTTCTTCAAGAGCGAGTCTTCGGTGAAATCGGCCGCATACCCACCAGTAGCGAGGATAACGGGCCCGTACTCGGTGTGCGTCTGGCCGTCGTGTGTATACTCAACACCCACGACTTTGCCACCCTGTTGTACGAGCTTGGTCACACGTGCCTTTTTGAGGATCTTGACACGGTCAGGGATGGACACGGCGAGGTCTTCCAGACGCTCCATTTGGGCGTAGGTGATAACCATACCGGGGAACTGGGCACCACCACGGTGCGTACGAGGCTGAGAGTGACCGCCAAGCCGCGCGACCTGAGAAAGGTCGAGACCGAACCTGTCCTCGAGCCAGTTGACGGCCTCGCCAGACTTGCCAGTAAGTACCTTGATCAGGTCGTCCCTTGCGAGCTCACGCGCAGACTTCTTGGTATCATCGAAGAAGATCTTGGCGTTGTCGGGGATGCCGAGTTCCTGCTGTGCGCGTGTACCGGCACCGTTGATTCCCGAAGTGGCTTTGGTAGAGTTCCCACCCATGAACCTGCGTGTTGTCAGTTAAGCACGAGTGCGGTGAAAGGGGACGAACCCCTGCTTGTCGAGCAGGAGGACGTTGGCACCGCGCTCGAGGAGAGTGTGTGCTGCTGATAGACCAGCAAGCCCACCACCGACGATGATAACCTTTGTAGACATCGCTTTAATTTTATAATAGTGGGTGAGAGGGTAGGGACGACGTAGAGGGTTGAGGGAGAGAGCAGCTTGGATGAGAGCAGGTAGTTATAAGTAATGGGCCAATCCCATCATGCGGGGTTCATTCAGCCTCTCACAAGGAATAACGGCTTACAACCATTCAATCACCGGAAGCAATTCCCCGCCGTTCAACATGTGAATACACGGAGGCAATCGGACCACGCCGGGTCTGCCGATGTAATGTAACCGGTGAGATGACCATCGTATTCCTCCACTTTTGAAACGCTGGATATCTCCTCCACCTAATGCACATAGACGCGTTTGGGCACCTTCCGGATTGGGATCAATTATTTTGTCTATTCCTTATGAGATAGAATCTATCTGAACTTCTCCATAATAACAGCGAGATAATACCCACTTCCTTACAATCACGACCCCTCTCCGGCTACTTACGCCAAGTGCGGGGTTACACATGACACGGCGCGCGGGGAAGTCTGCAAATCACGGTTGCCCAGTTTCACGGAAGCGGAGGAATGACTCGGCTCCGATCGATACTCCCGGAACATGTCGCTATGGTCCTGTGGGCAACCAGGTTTGATCTGCTGAATGCAGGCATGACTCCTACCTTGTCGCTCGCTTCTGTGTGCAAGAGCCACAAGGCGTGACCTCATGTTGGTCCTATGAGTTCGCTTCACTTCTATCGTGGTCGATCGAGATCCCCCGCGGGCCAAGAGAAAGAATCAGGAACCTATCCGACACTCGGCGGCAGCGGCAGGGTATGGACTGCTCCAGAAAGTAGAGGTGGAGTAGACAAGAAAAACCTTCAGACCAGGCATCCTTGACGGAATTACATCGGCTCCGAAAGCGGCATTATCATCGGCTCCGAAAGCACGTCGCATGTCGTCTTCCATCTTCGGCGTGACGTTCGTTCCATCCCGGATTTATTGAACGTCGTTCAGCTTATAATTACCTTCGAACTGCTAGACAGCGAGCGTAACAACTTTACTATACTCAAGCACATTCTCACCGGAGTATCGCATTTCTAGTTTCTTCCAACCTGTGAAAGACGCGGCACCCTGTCAACGGGCGTTTAGTAAGGTCCTGGATAAGAAGATGGTACGACATGTCGTGATGGTGACCTATCTTGCTTGGGGTCACTTGCGACCTGAATGCTCGCTCGCTGTAGCTTTGGTACGCAAGTTTAAAGATATCGTGATCTGTACGTCTCTCCCTGGCGAATGGCATCCGCTGACCCTGAACAGCATTCCTTGTGGACAGCGAGCACTCCGACCGTGCTCAAGAGGAGATCCAGCGTCAATGTTCTACTCCTGAGGGAAGTGCCGTCATCTCGAGGATCCGAATACTCCCTGCTCCTCAGCTGACAGAAGGGCACTCCCTCTCGCGCAAACAGCTCACCAAGCTCTTTCTCGATCAACCGCTCTCCGACGCTTCTGGCAAACAATGGGATCCCGTGGGCGCTAAACCCCGCACAGTGGTAGGAGACGTGGTGATGACTTCTCTCCTTATGCCGGCGAAGGAAGAGCATGAGTGTCGGCTTCTCCTCTGGTGGGGTGGGAGCGCGAGTGCGTTTACGCGCATGCTCGGTCCGCCGGAGAGGGGTGGGAGGGGCGGGTATGCCGAACAATGCAAACAGGCGTTCGAGGACGAAACCAAGCGCTCAGGTCGCTCCTACGCCGAAGTTGCTCGAGACGTGCGTGCTTCTTCTCTCTGTAGGGATGCGACTCAGACGCCCACAGCTGGCCCTCCGTGACCCCGAGGTGAAAGAGGATCTCGTTCACCTCGCCGGTTTGCCCCCATATTACCAATGGGAAGACTGGCCCCAACCTACGTGGAACCCCGCGCTAGCCGACGTGTTATGCAATTGCCAAGCGCTTGCTGATATCGCTGATGGCTTTCTGCTCGGTACCGTGGCCTCTCTCGAGCCAGAGGCAGTGAGAGACCTCGAAGAATGGGCAGGGGAGAGGAAGGTCCTGTGCCTCGGGCCACAGGGGGCTATCTCCTCTCCCGAGGGGGCCGATCCCTCGCTTCACTTCCTCACCCAGGCGCTGGAACAACACGGACCACAGAGTGCGGTATACGTCTCCTTCGGATCTGCGTTCTTCCCCCCTCCGGAGCAGATCAGCATCCTCCTGGAGATGCTGCTTGAGCTGGATCCCCCCCTGCCGTTCGTCTTCACGGCTTCGAGGCGGAAGCTCGGCACTGAGCTGCTGAAGAAGATCGAAGATAGCGGCAAGGGGCTCATAGTCGACTGGGCACCGCAGCAGTCTGTCCTTGCCCATCCTGTGCGTCCCCTTCCTCGTATGACTCAACCATGCTGATAACACCCGGATCACAGGCGATAGGATGGATGATCTCCCACTGCGGTGGGGGAGGGGTGTACGAGTCCCTCTCCCGTGGTGTACCGGTCGTCGGGTGGCCTTTCACGGCTGATCAGCCACAGCACGCGCTCTGGCTCTCAGAGGTGCTCGATACCGCCTGGGAACTGCTCCAAGTTCGGAGAGGTGTGGCACAGGAGTTGGGGGCATATAGGTGTGGGAAGGTGCTGGGGACGGAGGGGGCGGTGAAGCTGGAGATGAGGAAAGTGTTGGAGGAAATGGGGGGAGAAGTTGGGAGGAGGAAGAGGGGGAAGGCGGAGGCTGTGAAGGGGGTCATCGAGCGTGCTGCGCTGGAGGGAGGGGAGGGAGCTAGGGCGATGGAGGGACTGAGGCGCCTTTTGTGAGAACGAAAGTTTGTGCTCAGGTGTGGGTTAAGAAGTCAAAGGATGTACTAGTTGCTCATTCGTCCTCGAACAGAATAAATTCAAACCGATTGTGGGAAGAAGAACCACCGAGGATATGCCGAGATTGTCGACCTACGAACAAGCATGGCATACATAGGATCCGGTAGCCTTGTGCAATGGTCATTCAATACCGAACTTTCCAGCAGCTGGTCGAACGGCTACAGTATCGACCGCATGAGCCAAACAACCTGTACCAGTGCGAACTAGGAACAACGTGCATGGGAAAGTGACGGACTTAACGAGGGTGCGTAGTTTCCTTGATTTGAATTCGAGCAGGAAAACATGCTGATGCTGTCGTTCTGGGCGTTACAGCGATTGTCCCAATGGATGCCAGCTCAGAGTCCACGAACACAGTGCTTGGCTGGATAAGTTGGCTTCGAAGCCACCAAATGAGGAGCTTGGCTTGTCCGGAAATTTCCAACGATCAAGGCGAGGTTGGACCCATCATTGATGACCTGTGTATCCAATACCCTCTGGGATCGCGAGGTGACTCAGCTACATCAGCTCCGGTGAAGCCTCTTCCTTCGACAACCCGACTTCTTGCAATTTTCGATGTATGGATTGCGTTGATCTTCTATGCCTCAATATGATTGCTGACTTGTTTGTCTCGTCAGTGCTGTCACTCGGGGACGCCTCCAGGTCGGTAGTCTTCCTAATTCGTGGTTCCCTTGTGCTGATTTGAAACTAAACCATGTTCAGATCTCAAATATGAATATTTCGCCGGTGCGGTGCCTCCGTCTTTCATGGAGCTACCCTGGATGCGTATTCCAGGTCTTCGCCAGAGTCAAAGTAGGATCGGTGGCTCACGCACGCGTGGGGTTCGCCTCAAGGTGCCTATAAGCAAGATCAAGCTAACAAGCGCGAGGAAAGATTCCGCCAAGTGCGCTTCGCTCGTTCCCACCTCTGCTGAGCCTCATAGACACCGAGGTCGTTGTTTCATCCCTGGAGGTTGAGGGTCACGCTCGAGTTATCCAAGACCTGGCGGCCGATGTGGTTGTTATTGGGGCCTGTGCAGACAACGAAGAAACGTCGGATAGCAAGACCTTCACCACTGCCCTCATGCGCATCTTGGAGAACCTTGGTGCGTAGGAAGAACCGTTTACCTCATTGAAAGGCTTACATTCTCATCCTCATGCAGAGAGTCAGTTGACCTTGGGCGAATTATTCTTGTGGTCAAGGTTCATGTGTCGTTCATCCTTTACCCAAAGCAACCTTATGTAGTGGTGCTTGCAGCGCAAGAGCGCAACCGCGTCATCCAGAGGTGAGCACATTTCGGGCGAGAAAACAACACGCTGGTTGACTAACTTGGCGGTTCAGTTTACCACCTCCCAGGAAATGACCGTATGTTTACACCAATGGGGCCGCTGTGTGCAAGACTCATGAGTCAACAGCATGAACGTTGGGCGGAAGATTTCATTCTGTAGACCGAGCAATCACCCTGTCTTCCCTGACCGACTGCCGCCCATGTCCACTGTCTCGTCTTCTGCATTCGAGTCGCGTTGAAGAACTGTAACTTATGCTACACAGACCTGCACATATCCCTCGTGGATTCACGGACAGATCATTTGTACCATCTTGAGACACGTTTCCCTCCTTGTATACGTCCCTAACTCAATACTATATGCCAATACGGTATTGTTTATTCATTCTCCCATAGCTGATCGGTACCCACAGAATATCAAACAAAGAAGCGCCGGACAAGGGCTGTGCGCGTCGGATTGGGGGATCCCACGAGAAGATTTCAAAAGAATAACAAAGGGGGTTCATTCCTCTTGAGTTTGAGTTTGGAATCGGCCCGAGAAAGTGCGACAGCCTCATGGAAGCTTGACCATAGGCGCTCGGAGTTTGGAACTGATATTACAGATTCTTATTGGGTTACCGATCATGATATAGCGGCAATTGTACCGACCCTATGGAGTGAATATCACCAACTGTAGCAGAATCTCGGTGAAACTTCCGAATGTTGTCCCAGGCTGTGCCTTTTGTATTGGGGCATGTGGGCCGAGTTATGAGCGGTGAATGCATAGGAAAGAGCTGTTCGCCGATGTCCTGATAGCAAGATTAGATTTCAGAGTGTAGGTTGAGCACAGGGATGGAAAGCAGAAGGAAACGTATAGCGTGGGAAGGTTGGTCCGAGATATTCGGAAGCATCGGTTGCTGATGAGATAGTGATATCACGTGTTCTTGGGATATTGCGCTGCCTGAGCATGTGGTCGGTGGTTCTGGAGGCGAGAAGCTTGTGTCTGTGGACAAAGAGCGAAGCTTTTTCGCTGTAATGCGGGATGATATTCGGGGACACCGCTGTAGTGGATGGATGATGATGATGCCTTGTGGGTCGGAGTGGATTGCGGTTGTGCACATGGAAGGAAGTGACCGGTGGCTAGACATCTCCGTCATCTCCTTCCCGATTAGGCAGCTTACACACTTACGGAAGAGATCGACGGGCGCGTGATCGATCGTCACTCAATATTATCATCCCACCGGCGTTAAGCGCGCCCCCTATTTCAAGTATCTCACCTCTCCCAAGAGTAAGCCGGGTATTTCCCCCTCCTCTGTGTCTCACAAGCATTCCTTCACCTGCCGAACACCGATCAATTACCGCATTGGGACAAGGCCGCGGAACACACACTTAAACGCCACTCGCCGCCGCTAGCCGCCACCCTGTTCCCATCGCCCACGACAGCGCCCATCATCATCTTGGCCTCATTCGACCATCCTCACCGTCTACTTTGGTCACCCACCGCCCACCTATCCACAGCGGCGCCGCCACCCGTCAACACCGTCTTTCTTCAGTTGACGACGACCACCTCGCTAGAGGCACAATAGTGCACGGCGTATCCGTCAACCCCACAGTCCGCTCTCTCGCTACTGCCTAGCATATATCTACCCACAGGCTCAGGGCGACAGCACATCAGGCCATCACCTACAAGGCCAAGGAGACCCACCCTCGCGCCCGGAATTAGACTCGAGGGGAGTGAAAAGAAGACAGATAGGAGGCGAGAGGCGATAGGGAGGCGACGTCGTCCACCCACATCTCGCACACGCGTACATACGCATACAGCAACAGGAGCTGCGAGTCATCGGCTTCCTAGTTGCGCACCGACAGTGTCCACCCCGTATCCTGCCTGCAAAGGCCGCCTGTTGACCGGAGTGGAATGCCCACTCCCCTCTTTCCACACAGGCGTCCCTCCCTGCCTGCGTAGCTGCTTATAGCCTACCCCGTCTAACCCCAGGTAAGCCCCCTCCTTTCTTTCCCCACGTACGAGCGCTCGCTGATATGGACAACCTCCATCCTGTAGTATTCAAGTTCATCGCTTTCGCAATGCCGAGCAGCGGGAAGATCCCCGCAAAGTACAACGTCACCACCGAGTGTAAGTGCTTACCAATTTAGGAAATATATGCTGACTCATCGGATCATATCAGTCCCCCAACTCGGCCTCCATGCCGCCGCAGTGAGCGGCAACATTGGCTTGGTCAGGTATGCCCTAGCCAACGGTCAGCCGGTCAACTCTGTCCAACATGGCATCCTCCCCCTCCATGCTGCCTGTACCTCTGGAAACGCAGACGTAGTCCGAGAGCTACTCGCCGCAGGCGCCGACGTGAACGCACCACGTCTTCCACGGCGATATAGCAACGACCGCCAGACACCAGCACTCGGCGTGGCGGGTAGTACCCCCCTCCACTTCGCAGCTGCAAGCGGGCACGAAGGTATCATCCGTCTCTTGCTCGAGGTGGGCGGCGACCCACTCAGAGGGGACAAGAATGGCGTAACCCCTATCGAAGTTGCCGAGTCCAACGGTTACGTTGACGCTGCTACGCTCTTGCGTCTTGCGGCAGCCGGAGCACTCATCGCGGACCACTCGGGTGACCCCCTCGCTGGCCCGAGCTCGGGAGCGGGGAGGGACCCGAAACTGCAAATCAAGCGCAGTTTAGACAACCTCCTCCATATCCGATCGAAGAATCACTCTCCTGGCATCGTAGGCGCACCTGTACCCCGAAGAAGTACTTCCCCAGGAGAAGCCCCGCGGCCTCCGCATTCCCCACTCCCACCTCTCCCCCTCGCCCACATATCCGAAAATCAACCAGAGAGCGACGGTGTCCCCTCTCCCTCAACCGCGTCGACTATCTCTGCCCCTGGTTCTAGTATCCCCGTTCGCTCCAAACCACCCACAACGGTGCGGAAGATTGTGCACCGTCGGCCGCGCTCAGCAGGGCAGCAAGAAACGGCCGAATACCCCTCTCCCTCCCCCTCCCCTTCGCCGCAGCTCACAGCTTCGCCACCCCCTGGCTTCCCCCCTCTTCCACCAGTCACTTCCCTCCCCTATTCCACCAGCCCCGCATCAACAGCAATCGCCATTCCCCTGTCTTCCATCCCCACGCACAGGCTACACAAGCTCGGGTCCAAGTACTCCCTCCGCAACCTATTCAGGAAAGCCACCTCAACGCACGATCGTTCGAATCCTGGTGAGGTGTCCCAGTCTCCTCTCTCTTCGCCTCCACCGGGGATTACCAGTCTCCCCGGAAGCGCAGGGTTGAGCAGCGAAGAGCTCGCTTCCCCGGGAGAGGAGCCCCCGTCTCCAGGAGAAGAACGGCAGCCCGTCTCAGCACCAGCACAGGTGCAGGCATATGTCCACTCGCATATCCCCAGCTATCAGGGATATACGTCAAGCGCGAGCACGCACAGTACTCGCAGCAGAGGGAGCTCGTCGGGCAGCAGTGACTTGCTCGGCCCAACTACCCCGCCGCCGCCTGTGCCTCCGTTGCCTGCGCTGCCTGGCTTTTCAGGAACTGGTATGGTACCAATTACCTCGGCTGGCAACGTGCCTGCTGTACCTGTGCCTATGGGTGTTGTTGGATCAGGAGTGGTGGGACATCAAGGCAGACCGAGAAAAGGCAGCGAAGTGACTGCTCCTAGCCCCCTGGCGACCGTCACAGCTTGGAGTGAGGAAGGGGAGGGGGAACATGAAGATGCTGATGGGGATTTAGAGGTATCGCCCAGTTTGGAATCTGCTTTGACCGGGGAAGAAGAAGAGGAGGGGTGGAGGGGGACGGTTAGGGGTTTACCGCCCCCTCCTCCGTCTAAGAGTGATGTGTATCCTCCAATTGCACTTGCGCCTGCGGCTACAATTATGTCTCCTCAAGCGGCAACAGGTGGGCTCGAACTCCCTACTGGTGAGGAAGACGAAATGGATGGCGAGAAGCTGGAGACGCCTGTTGCTGATGTGGGCGGGGAGATGTTCGCCGGTGTTGGAATCTTTGGCGGGGTGGCGGAGAGGAGAGGGATCCTCCAGCGCAGCCCTAGTGATCCCCAGCACGGGAAGAACTTGCGATTTGAGGTGAATGGGGAGGGGAGTGACGTTAGTGGTGCCAGTGGTGGACCTGGAGCTGGAAGGAGCAGGGAACGACCAAGGGGCGGCTCGTTGTCCTCTGGCGGGTCGGCGAGTGCGAGTTTGTCCGCTAGTGCGAGCGTCTTTGGTCTTACCGGAGTGGAGCCGACGAACTTGGACGAAGCGCGAGAACTGGTACACGAGACCCAGCGCGCTATACTCGCTTCCTTCGACATGGACGCCTCTGGTGCTGCTTCCGGTTCTGCGCCAGGCACAGGGATGACGCTTGAGCACCAGCTCGCCATGTACGGTGAGACTCTGGCTATCGAGCGCGAGTTTGCGCGCAGGGAGGAGAAGGAACGTGAACGTCGACAGAGGGAGGAGGACCGACAGCGCCGGCGGCTCGAGAAGGAGCTCGGGTTCGGCGGGAGGAGGGGAAGCGAGGGGAGCGTTGGTCTTGGCCTTGGATTCTCCCTTGGCAGTGTGGGCGGTATGGGCAAGGGAAGCACTGTGTTGCTCTCTTATGATCCGCCGCCGTGGTTGTTGGACGATATCGCTGCGCGGAGGGCGGCCCAGGGGCTGGAAGGTGGGGAGGCGACGCCCCCTACTCCCCCGGAAGACGGCCGGCCTGCTGAGAACGGGAACCGGAGTGCGACCGCTAATGGACAGGCGGATGGGACGAACAGACTCAGCCCGCCCGCGCATCAGTATCGACACCGACCGCCTGCGCTGTCCTTGTCTTCCTCAGGCTCGTCGACTCGGCCCCGGAGGCCGCCACATCGTCGTGCAATGTCTAGCAGCTCTAGGAGCGGATCGGGGTACGGCTCGGTCATGGAAGAGCCTGAAGATTACCCCCTGCCCTGGGGAAACACTGTTCGCCGGAATGCGTACCATCCAACTTCGGAGGCCCATTCACGTTCGCAGAGTAACGATTCTAATGGTTTGAATACTTCTGGTCCGGAGATCGTCCACACCGGTCCTACGCCGGTCTCTTCTCCAGGCACGGCGACGAGCACGCAGCCCAACAGCGCTTCCACCGAATCTTCAACCAAGACGGAGACGCACGGGAACTATGCACACCGGATTTGGGACACCCCGCCGTACTCTTCTATCCCGACGGGGCTCTATGATCGTGACAAGCCTTTATCCGAAGTCCGGGGACTGGTCGAGAGTCCGAGCGAGATGACACTTGTTGCGAGGAAGCTGAGTAAGACTCCCCCGGCTGGGCAGGAATTTACCCCGGAAGGCACAGTCAGCCCGCAGAGTGACACGGGCCCTGGACGTCGGTTTGGAGGACTCGGCATCAGGGGGTTTGTCCAGACGCTCACTGGGCGATGATGAGCTGCTAGCTAACCCAGCAAGCTGCTGCCTATGTACGATTTTCAATTGTCGGCGTCGTTGTCCGGCCTGCATGCGATCACGCGATCACTTTTTCCATTCACCATTTCTCTCCATTGATCGCTGTTGTCATTGACGACGTGTTTCATTCATCGACCCCTTCATCAACCCATTCATTCTTCTCTGCGTAACATCTATCTGGACCATCTTTACGAGCGAACCCGTGTGCGATATCTTTCTCTGTGTGGCGTTTTTATCCGGTGTGTTTGTATGTTTTCCCTGTACGTAACCGGGGCGGCGATGTCGTTGGTTGATGAGCAGCTTCTGGTGTTGTTTTATTTGGTTTATCCTGTGACGTCCCTCTCCGTTTTCCTATTATGTCCTGTGTGTATCAACGTATATATGGTGTACGAGGAGATGAACAATCCATAGCTGTTGTTTTCAATGTCCCCAAGAAGAATTACGTTACTCTTGTTGAAGTGGTGACCCTGAGCGCGTCTCTTCCTCGACCAGCGGTTATGTCAGCACCACAACAAGGTACATTTCTCACCACCAAATGGTAGATATATGCTCATAATTTATTAGCTGAAAGCTCTAGCGCGGGTCGCAAGCGTTCAAAATGGGAGTCGCTGGACGAGGCCGACGAACCCACACCTCGACGTGTAAAGATCAAGCGCCCAAAGCGTGAGGCCGTCGAAAGCTCTCCTTTGCCCAACTCGGTCAGTTCGCTACGAGCCGGAACCTCGACACCTCCATCCCGTTCCCCTCGGTTGGTGACAGCAGCGGATTCCAGTCGCTCACGTTACGTGCCCCGCCGCTCCCTCTACCCACCCATAGCACCCTGTCGCAGCGTTTATACCTACGAGAGACTAAATCATATTGAAGAAGGCTCGTATGGTGTCGTCTTCCGCGCTCGAGATAGGGATACAGGGGATATCGTTGCGCTCAAGAAGCTCAAGTTGGATCAAGAGAAGGGCGGGTTCCCGATCACGAGCTTGAGAGAGGTCATGGCGCTCATGACGTGTCGACATAAACATGTGGTACCGATCAGGGAGATTGTCGTGGGGGACACATTGACACAGTGTGTACTCGTTTTACTCTTGCACTCTGTGCTTGTAGGGCATGTCATGCTAATCATATTGCAGGATATTCATCGTAATGGACTTTATAGAACACGACCTTAAGACACTCCTCACTGTGATGCCCACCCCCTTCCTCCAAAGCGAGATCAAGACGCTCTTGCTCCAACTCCTGTCTGCTGTCGCACACTGTCATGCCAACTGGGTGCTACATCGGGACCTTAAGACCTCCAACCTGCTAATGAATAACAGAGGGCAGATCAAGGTGGCGGATTTTGGACTGGCAAGGACATTTGGCGATCCTCTGGGAAAGATGACGGAATTGGTGGTGACATTGTGGTACCGGTCCGTCTTTTTCTACCCTCTAATATATGCCACTCAAGGGATTTGTAGCGCACCTGAACTCCTCCTGGGTGCAAAAACGTACTCCACAGCAATAGACGTCTGGTCTGTTGGGTGCATCTTTGGCGAGCTCCTACTCAACGAACCCCTCTTCCAAGCCAAAGGCGAGATTGAGATGCTTTCCATGATTTCCAAGCTCCTAGGCCCACCTACGGAGCAAACTTGGCCCGGAGTCGAAGACTTGCCGCTGGCGAGTACGATCAACTGGCCTGCGCGGACGAGTAGCTTGAGGAGCAGGTTCCCGTATATTACAGAGGCGGGGCTCGATCTTCTCGACAGATTCCTGACGTATGATCCTGAGAAGAGGATCTCAGCGGAGGAGGCGATGGGACATCCGTATTTCTCGTACGTCAGCCTTTTGTCTCCCCTTGCTCCGTTCTCATGTTGAACAAAGTGAATCACCGCTACCGAAGCACCCAGATCTTTTCGGCTCTTTCCCTTCCATTGCCGCTGGAGAAAAGTGAGTTTCCTCTCGTTGTTCGGTATCGGACAGTGCTGACCGACAACAGGCGTGTCAAAGTTCGGTCCCCTTCTGCACCCCAACGGATCGCCAACTACCAAATGGAATTCGATTTCGGCTTATAGTAGCCGATCCATCCATTGGTAGGCGGCGGTACACGAGCCTCACTCGGAGGGCTGATTGTTCAACATCTATACGCTTGACTTCGCCCGGTGTGATCGGCGTACAATACCAGCGACGACGGGCAAAGTTCATGGGAGATGTTGCAGGGCATGTCATCGGAAACGGGCTCATGGGGTGTCGCCGGACGAGCAGCTTTTATATTCCTACGCGCGCGCCTGGTAGGATTGGGCGTAGATGAACGTCCTGGACATCGTAGCCATCGTCCACACCAGACCCTTGTGCGGTCCATGGTGTATCTCCTCATGGACGTCCCTCCACTTTTTATACGCAATGACACGCCACTTGTTCTAAAATAACAATTCAGCCGTCCGTAAACCGACGAGCTCAGTACAAATATCTTACCTGCTCCTGGTGTAAAAGAGTATCACGTCCCATTCGTTCATCTTCTCCAGTCTGTAGGAGCACAACATCCGCATCTGTCAACCAGCAGGAATTTCCAATGGCTCAGTATCTCGCTCAACACACCACCGAAGCCTGTTGTCAAGCAGTCAAGCACACCGGCACGCCTAGGGGCGAACTGATCGACGTCGGCGGTGTGCAGACGTATATCACCTACCCTCCCGACAAGAGCACGGATCGGGTGATCATCTTCTACTGCGACGTGTACGGCCCGCATTTCCTCAACAATCAGCTCGTGATGGACTTCTTTGCTGAGCACGGTATGCACCTACCGCCCACCTGCGAAGTACCATGCTGATGTCCGCTAATAAGGCTACACTGTCATCTCCCCCGATTACTTCAACGGGGAGCAACTGGAGAAGCTGCGTGAACAGCCCGGGTTCGACACGATGGCGTGGGCTGCTCCATACCGCGTGTCGGTACCCAAGTTTGTGGTGGACAAGTTCTTGCCTGCCGTTAAGGAGAAATTCAGTACGCTCCGCCTCATTTCCTGCATCAAACCCTCCTGATCATATTGTAGCGAGTGTCAAGGCGTACGCCTCGGTTGGATACTGCTTCGGCGCACCTATGGTGCTGAACGACCTGGTCGCCGGCCGGTCGGAGGCGGGCGCTGTCGCTCATCCCAGCACGCTCACCGAGCAGGTGTTCCGCGACATCAAGAAGCCCATCTTCCTCAGCTGTGCCGAGGTTGACCGCGCGTTCCCACCCGAGAGTAGGCACAAGGCGGAGGCCATCCTAGCTGAGGGCAAGAAGATCTACCACTTCCAGTTGTTCAGTGGTGTAAGCCATGGGTTTGCCATCAAGGGCGATATGAATAACGAGAATGAGCGTGAGTATCTGTGTTTCGCTGCAGTTGAGCTTTGACAGATGAAGGAATAGGTTGGGCAAAGGAACAGAGCGCTTGGGGTATCATCAGTTGGTTCGATCGGTTTCTTAAGAAATAAGCGCCTGTTGGAACGCACAAAGCTTTGATATGGCGAGAACTGTATCACGTATGGTAGATCGAAATGGAGAATAAATGCAATTAGCGCATTCATTGAGTGGTGCCATGTGCATGGAAGATGCCTAGTCCAAGGATACATTTTCGAAAGTGTAAGATATATATATGTATGCCCATACATGACTCTTGCCACAGACTCAGAATCGTCTGCCCGTTGTCCTGCTGTCGGTTTGCAGCACGGGTGAGCTCGCAGGCGGGTGAGCATTCGGTAACGGGGGAACGTCCGTGGCGGACAGCTCGTCTACCGTTACGACCCGGGGATCGGTGAGGATCGTTGCAGGTGTTTCAGATGAAACGTCAGAGGCGGCGAGCGCAGGGGCGGGTGCATCGGCATCCTCTCGTTCGTCGTCGTCACCCATGATCTCTGAATTGAAAGTCAGTAATTGCACTTGACATTCACTTGGGAGATCGAAGGGGTCGGGTCGGGCGAAAATCGGCGGAGCATTCCTCAGCTTCAGCTTGGAATACAGAACTCACCTTCGCCATACACATCTGGATGCTCCCTAAAACAATCCTGCATCGCCCTGAACTTTTCAACACAGTTGATCCCCTTCGGCTCCTCGTTACTGTACACAAAGCAGGAGAAGGCGTCGCGGAACTGCTGCCCACAGGGACCGTGTGCCATCCCGCCGAGGCAGGGGCAGTCCCAGTTGATCTCTCCCGTGACAGGGTCAAAAGCGGCTTCCTTATCTGATTCTTCGAGAGTTTCTTCTGCTTCTTCCGCCTTCTCGTGGATTATCTCCTCAGCGATCTCTTCATCGGACGGCGCTTTTGGTGAAGCAGCTACAGCCCACAATTCAGAGCAATTCCTCACTCGGTGAGCAAGCGAGGTACGCACCAGGCTCATGCGTATCTAAAGATACCACTCTGCCACTCCGGCTAATCTGCCAGCCAAAGATCCCAGCACCGATGACGCATACTGCAACGGTAGGAGCCCAAGCCGCGATTCTACTCGGTCCAGCGACAGGTCGAGAAGTGTGGACCGCACGCACCAAGACGGTTCGTGCTACAGGTCGAAGTGCCGCTCTGAGCATTTTTTTGGGGAGGAGAAAGGTGAAAAAAGAGAAGATTGAATAGAGAAAGAGAGGTGAAGGAGACCGGAGACGCTCTAACAAGGACGAGGAAGAGAAAGTACTGAAGCTGACGCATCGCAAAAAGTCACTTCGGCACCGTCCCGAGTTTGCTTCCGTATCAGCGCCGTGGACTTCTGTTAGTCCGTCTCATGGCTCCGAGCTTTATGAGGGCGTCGTTGGACACACCTTTCCACTAAACCACGACTACGTTACTTGTTGAGCTGGACAGTCATCTCAAAACGTATGCGCAGCTCGTCTCCAGATCCACCCTCTGCTTTCAGACATGCAAAGTGAGCCATATACGTGGATTGACCTCCTTGGAATCGCGTGAGCTCTGCAAACTTTCTTAGGGTCTCTCGTACTGCATATACCTACTCGCTACCCTACGGAGGCGAGCCTTGGGCGTACTTGATATTGGAATCCTCTTTCTTAATGAATTTTATCCTGGGACAGGTCCTATGCTTGGGGAATACTCAAACTCTCGACACTCGGATCGGACTCGGACCAGGGGCAAGAGCTTGAATGCTCGGCGGGATGAGATGATGACTCGCTTGGCGACTTCACACGAATATGCATCCAGCAACACTGGGTTGGCTCCCTCGTTTAATCCAAGTCGGAGGCGCTCTGTAGATGCTCGATCGTACCACTCTGTGCACGCTCAACCACCCAAGCCGGACGAACGCAAAACTCCAAACTTGGAGCATCGTTCGCATGTTAGCTCGGATGTGACCCTTCTAGACACTGCCGTCGAGTTACCGCAAGAATGGATGGAATCCGTCGTACTCCCTGGAAAAGTTCCAGTATCTCGTCTCCGCTTGCCTCGTGCCCCGAACTCGTCGCGTTTGGATCCTCTAGAGCCCATGCCTGAATGGCTCAACAACGTGCTATCTAAGCTTGAGCGTACTAATCCACTCAGCCAGCTTGCTCAGGATGCGGTAGACCTCACACCCACTGAACACGATAAATACGGGACATTTCTCGAGAAAACAAGACTCCCTGCGATGGGTGACGATGCGCCATACTCAAGCCCGCTATTCTCTCGTCCAGGCCCTAGCTCGAACATAGGAATGCTGACTGACTTGTCGTCTCCGTCTCTGACATCACAACAGAACTCTCAACGCTCTTTTCAAGATCCATATGCATCGCTTCCTTTGGTCATGCCGAATAGCTCTGAGTCATCCGGTTCTTATCTTACACCTCTCAAAGGATCGCAAGCTGCTACTACCTCAATTTACGGCCCAACGCCACGCCGACACAGCCAGACGGACATCACTCAGTATATGCACTCTCTAGATTCCAACACCTCTAACCTTGACACGGCTGGGTTCGTACAAGAGCGCATATACGGGGCTCCTCTTGACAACAGCCAGGATATCCAATGGGACCCCACACCTCCTATCACGGACGCACTAGCTGCCACGCTTGACGGTGATGACATGCACCCTAGCCGGCTGGCACGACACGCTCGTGTTTCTTCGGACGGCGCAACCCTATTTGACGAGCCCGAGCTCACCTCCCAGGAGCAGTACTGGAAATCCGAGAGCATCGGCGAGGACGACGATCAGTGGCTCCACCAAGCGGAACCCTTTCTCCAAGCAGCGGAGTACGGAGCCTTCCCCGCATCTGCAAGTCCTCCGCCTATCCCCTTCTCGGAACCGCCGATCTACGACATGCCACCCGCCTCGTTTCAGCCTTCGACGCAGGACGTGTATGCGTCCAGACTACTCCGATACGCTTCGGCTATGGACCCCACGAGGACCGAAATCCGCTATGCGCCGAAGCTGAGCCGTCCTGAGTCACCGGGAGAGGCACTGATAGACGAGATGGAGGAGCTGATGTGGCCGAGCCCACTCTGAGCTGGTATGGAAATGTTGACATAAACGCACATTCTGTTCCGCGAGCGTTCTGTGTTTCAAAAGCCTGTGTTATTCAACTGTTTTCTTTGTCTAATACTTCGCGAATCGTGTTGCCTCGTTGGACCAAATTCCAGGTGCGCCACTACTGGCCCCAGCGAATCGATCACAACATTCCGTAGACCATCCTAGAAGGGTATGGGGACCGTCATGCATAAAGTTTCTCATATTGTTTCGACACATTTAGAATACCTTGTGCTACCCACTTTCAACCCTAAATCGAGCTTCCGCTCATAATCACACCACCCCATCAGAACGGATCGCACACTGTCCAAAGTTCCTCTTGACAAGTCCGTCCGGATTGGGTAGGATGTCCTGTATAGTCTCAGCAACTTGGTGTAGTCTAGAGCCAAAAGCTTACATGGTCAAAGATCCCCAGCGGGATACCCATCGTCACGCATGCGTTCGGGCTGTCGACTACGGCGCCGACGTGGGATTCAACGGGCGCGGCGGAGAGAACAAGATCTATAATATGATATCAGACGTTTTTCTAGAGATCCCACGTTTTTCCTCACAGGCTTGCTCGCGAGTGTAACCAAGCTCTGCGAGTGTGGATTAGCGTGTCAAGCGTGGAAATATCAGATGAAGCACGCACTCATCAGGTAGGCGATACAGTTGAGCGCAGCCTGCTTATATGCCACAGTACTACCAATTCATCAGCATACACCTGCTGTATCGAACAAATGCGTGCGTACGCGTCCATGTTATACTGTCTCCCATCACCATGGTAATCCACAGAGATTCCCTCGAATACCAGCTTGGCGGAGTAAAGCGGGTCCACGGGGGAAGGCTGTGGTACCGATCGTCAGCAATAGACCACGCTAGTTCCAAAAGAGGGACATACCAGGAAGATCGGCTGCTTCAGAGCGAATTTCTCTACCCCACCTTTGATAATGGAAGTTTTGAAAGTGACGATACCGGCCATCTCGATAGCACCGCAGAAGGAGAGCTGCACGATAGAATAACGCATCAGCGCTTGTCCGACGACTAGAGAGGGGGACTGACTTCGCCATCGCCTTGGCTGAAGTGGAGATCGCCGACGGAGAGCAAAGCGTCCTTGACGAAGACGGGGAAGTAGCTGTTCGACGGTCAACTAAGTTCTCTCTACGATGAAAGAGACTCACCAGCGAGACCCACGAGATAAGTTCTTGATATCGCAGTTTCCTACGCCTCCTGTCAGCTGCGACTACTCTCGTACACCGAAACTCCGCACCTCCATGCTCGCGTCCGGGGATTGTTCTCGCTCCCTCCTTAGCAATCTTCTCCAGAACCTCCGGCTTTACAGGCTCTGTCATTCCGTCATTCCATCTCATCCCTTGGAAGGAGAGGAAGTACGTACCCTTCGAGCCGATATGTACGCCCTTCGGCTCAGGCGGGAACGCAACCGCAGGCACGACATCGCCACAAGCTTTGATGAGCTCGCCTTCACGGCGGTTCCACTCGTCAAGCAGTTCCTGGCTCGGTGCGGTGCCGCTGTTTCGGAGATCATGAGCTAGGCAGGGGAATGGAAGAGGAGGAACGCACATCAGACCGGGATGGGTGATCCCCGCGAACCTCACACCGGGGATATGCCTCGACGTCGCATAAATCCCCTCAAAGTCCCAAATCGCCTTGGCGGCCTTGCTTTGAAACTCGCGCGCTGCAAGACGATTTAGCTCCAATCTCTCCCCGCGAGTGTCCGGAGGGAAGGAGGGACGCACCGAACAGCCCACCTCCGTTCGTGAGCTCGAAGATGCCTGTGTATCCCCAGGGCATCTGGTCAAATGGCTGCACATCGAGGATGTCCACTACTAGGCAGTCGCCTGGCTCCGCGCCTTCGATAGCGACTGGGCCAGAGAGGTTGTGCACCCTCCTCAGGTCGACGTCCCGGATGTCGTCACTGACTGGGCAGGAATATTAGAAGAGTGAAGGGAGGGAGAGGGGAGGAGCAGACAGTCATTGTTCCCAATCTGACCATCTGTCAGCATTTTGGGCTGAGGGGGACTCGAGGGTACGCACTTGGGCACCGGTCCAATCCACGCACTCAACCTTGAACACCTACAACACGCAACACGCTCCCCGTCAACTCTTTTCCCTTCACGTTTAATAGCCACACGAACCTCTCCAGGTTTGACTGTTGCAAATGCTGGAATATCCGGGCTCGACGAAGATTGAATACGGGACGATACGGTGTGTTTGACGAAGACTTACTGCCAACGGTTGTGCAGTCCCTAGACTATCAGTTAGCGGGCTTGTCCACTTCCTCATGGCGCAGCTGACCTACCTTTTGCTGGGAAGCAGGCTTGAATGGGTCGACCTATATTTCTGTTCAGGCATGTTGCTTGATATCACCAAATACAGCATACCTTGATCACAGTCGGGTGAGGAACACTATTATCTTTGGTAGCCATACTTCGTTCTCAAAAGTAAATCAATCAGGCTGTTCTGGTCGTGGCACTCAGACAGGCTGGGAAAGCTTGTCCGACATAGCTATGCCCTCTTATCTACTGTCTATTGTGGGGGCGGTCATATGGTACACGGTAAAGGATAGGTCGCTTGTTGTGTATCGGACTGGGAACGGGTTCACTCCGGGTTGTTTTGTTCTTCCTATCCGCTTGTGAACTCTCGTAGCATGTGCACCAACAGGTATGACTGCTACTACCTGTGAATCGAAAAGAAGCTAATTATTATTGGGATTCGCGTATCAATGCGAAGTTGATTATCTGTTCTCTTACACACAGATACACGAGAAGTGTGCCCGTGTGCCCCTGGGCAATTTGTTGCACAGGTTTATGGGGGGGGGAGGGACTAAGTATGCTCATCAGTAAAAAAAATTCTGCTACCCATAGAAGCAGACCTATAGGGTCCTATCTGACCACCTGGTGGCTATGTCGCAGACCTGCATGCTATACAAAGCCCCATTTTTCTATGGGATGCTATGGAAGAGTCCTCTGGACCCAAAGCACTTTTTAGAATGCTTGTCAAGAGGCTTGAAAATGAGGATTAACAAGTTTTAATGAAGCTCTCATTGTTTGTGCTCAGGTATGGTGAGGATTTGTGAGATTGAAGGAATCATTGCTTGTGAATCATGCTGGGTTGCAGTGTTTTGAGTGGTCACGTGTTGTCAGCAGCCATTGGAAGCAAATGTGTCAAGTTTGCCTATAAGAATATTGACTTTCCCATTGTCATAGGGTGGATGCAGCCATTATATTATTGTGCCCCTTAAGAGGAAGACAAGGTCTCATGTTGATAGCCTGCATAGAAGATGTGTTCCCTCATAGACAAATGTCATTCTATCTATGGCCAAGTATCCCTATATGAGCTATCAGAGTGGATGACTGCTATGGCTTCTACACAGCCTCCATAGGGTCTGATAGAGCTCAACTTTTCCACTGATGCTGGGCTTTAATCAGCAGTTCATATTCACACTTTTGCAATGAACTTGTTTCATTTCTTGCTTGCTTCCAGGAATGGTATCAGTTGCTCAATAATAGTGTGTTGGCTTGGTGAATCTGTTTGCTGTTCATCTTCAGTCTCCTTGCTGATGTTGTCATGGAACTCAATCAAGACTCTTACCATGTCCATGAAGGACTTGCCCTTTTTGTTCAATAATTCCTGGAAATGTGCTTGTACCTATTTGTTGTCAGCATTCCATTGTTGAGAGAGGTGAAAACAGGAAACACCACATATATCATTATCCTCCATGCTAATCCATGCACCAATGTAATCCACCAGTTGGAGAATCAAGCCCACACTCTCCACTCTCTGGAGATACCATACAACCTGATCATTGTCTCCCATCTCCTTGCCTTCTGTAGCCAGATCCTTCTTCTCCTGCTCAATCCCTTGTTCAGTCCCCTCAAGTCTTGCCCTTGCATGCTCCCGGATTTCTGCTAGATGGGCAGCCTTCTCATAATTGGCCTTGACCCACTTGGCCAGAAGCCTTATGCAAGTTGGAGAGTCAGATGGTAGGTTGGTGAATAAGCATGCACCTGATGCTTCAAAGATGACTCAGTATGGATGGGGTTGATCATTAAGGTGAAGAAGGAGATCCAGTAAGAAGCCCATAGGACTGTGATTTTGCAGACTAGCTAACCAGCCCATAGTGATGCTCTTGGTCAAACTTCATCACAAGAGGTAGCTGGGATGAGTACAGACTGGGTGGTAGAGTGGGCATGATCACTGTGTAAGTGTGAAGCACTTCATACTTAGTCAGAGTAACATGTATTACCTTGTAGCTGTCAGTAGATTTTATATGCAAAGTAGCCTTGGAAGATTCCTAAAGCATCTGATCACATGATTATACAGCAAGGTATTTGATTCTGCTCCCACACAAGTCAACTTAGGCCATCACCATTATGAACACAATGGTAGGCAGAGGACATTTGATATCACCAATGCCTGCAGGAGCTTGGTAGGCCTTGCTGTCATGCACTTAAACATTTGCTGACAACACACATATAGGCAAAGATGGGCCTAATCAACCTGAGGGGATGAAGATGATGGCCCAAGCTGGGGCAGCACTCCCATTGCCCTGATTACCATTGAATAGTGCCAACTCCAGTATAGGAAACAGTACCTCACCAAGCATGGGTGCATTCAGGTAAAGGGGAACATTCAACGAAAAGGAGTTGAAATGGTCTGAAAGCTGCTGCAAGACTGCATTCTGGGTGATCTGCTGCTCCCCTGTTAGGGCAACACAGGCTGACTAAGTCTGCTCACCTAAGAGTGCCAAGAGTCTAAGCAGGCAACAAGGAAGTGGAGTAGACCTGATGACTAAGACCTATCTACAGTATAGGTACCTGTGGATGATCCTAAGAGACCAAGTCTGAAGAGACAGTCCCCAGGCAGAGTAGGCCTTATATTTATACCTCTGTGGTGGAACCTGCTAGAACATCTTGCTTACTCAGCCTAGTCAGGTGATCATCATATGACCAAGGATGAGGTCATATGAGGTCATGCACAGCCATGCACAGCAGGTCACCTGACCATCCAATCCTTCCAGCAGGTTCCAGCACATGCCAAGGTATAGCTACTTCCATGTCATAAAGGCTTAGTCATG